TACCAGGCAGGTGCAGAGCCACTGAGCTACATCCCCAGCCCCAAGCATACATTTGTTGAAAGAAATTTTAAAACTTTGCTAATTGGGACTTCTTAACTAGAGCTTGGAAATGGTTTCGTATCAATACATGCAGATCTGGTTCAGCTATTGTAACCACTGCAGACTATTTCATTATATGGATGTTCACAACTTATTTAACCAGATTCTTTTAAATGAAGATTTGAATTAGTTCCATTCTTGCTGTGACACTCTCATACAAATAATAGCATTTTACAATTGTATTTAGTGCATGTGTGAATATATCTGTGGGAGTTTCTGAGAAGCAAGTATCTCTGTGACAGCATATTTGCATTTACAAGCTTTGTTAGATTTTTGCTAGATTACTTGCAAACAAGTTGAACTCATTTACATTTATCTATTTCATTTTGGAAAGGCCTGAGGACTTTATTTCTGAAATTGGCCAGGAGCTGAAACATACTTCTTATCTATAGCCCTGCACTTGTCCACTTCACACCTCGTGGACCACTTTCTCGTAACTCTTCTCTCCTCTAAAAAATTTAGTGCTTTTTAATTTTCAAAAATAAAAAATGTTTGAAAATAAATTTATTTTAAAAAAATACATCTAAAGTATATTTACTGAATAGAGCTTCTTCTCTATCTTACAACTGTATACTTCCCTTCCAACACACTGTCACACAAAAGGCATTCAAGAAGTATCTGAATGAGCAAGTGAAGTGAGTTAGATAAATTTAAGATCTGGACTTTTCTTCTTAGTTTTTTATTGAGCCATAATATCTGTACATTTTTATAGGGGTACATTATGGAAACTTAGTACATGTATACAATGTGTAATAATAAAATCAGAGTAACAAGCATCTGTCTCTTCAAATGTTGATCATTTTTTATGTGTTGGTGATAGGGAAAAGTTTTAGATAACTTAGTAGATTGAATATTAAGGTAGTTGTAGAAGCAAAATAAGTAATGTATTCCTTTAAGATTTGCTTTTCCTGTAACTCTTGTAACTCTCCTCGTTTAAGGTGATGGTAATCTGACTCTTTAATAAGTAACCTCATTAACCTAACAAAGTTGCAATGCCTGGGTGAATTTACAATGTATATGTGCCTATCTTGTGTCTGTGACTTGTAAATAGGAACTGGAATTGTATTTACACATCAAAGACCACTAGGGATGAGTTAATGGCTAAAAAGGATATAAAAAGGGAAACACTGAACAAAGGGGCCCAGATACTAACCAGACTGGTTTCTGGTGGTCCCACCCACTTGCAAGTAGAACTTTTATTATTTTACCCGAATTCTGTGTCTCCGTGTATTTCTTTCCGAGATTTCCAGAACATTGGGAATGTTGTACTATTTTAGTCATTTTGACATAGAGCATAGATTATTTTAAACAGCAGGTACCCTATAATTCTAGAGAAGAACCAGAAATGATTCCCTTACTCTAACTCTGTTTTGGTGCTTCTTATTGAAATTCTTTTCTACCCCTCTTCCCTGTTCTTTTCAGTCCCAGTAACCATTATTCCATTCTGTTCTTCTAGGAAATCAACTTATTAGTTTCCACTTATGAGGGAGACCATGTAGCATTTGTCTTTCTCTATCTGGCTTATTTTGCTTAACAAAACGACTTCCAGTTCCATTTGTGTTGCTGCAAATGACAGAACTTCATCTTTTTATGGCGGGATAACATTCCACTCTTCATAAACATGTTGCATTTTCTTTATCCATTCATCCACTGAAAGGCATCTGAGTTGATTCCATATGCTGGAAATTGTAGTATTGGTGTAATGTCTTATTTTTCATCTCTAATTTGACTTATTTGGGCATTCTCTCTTTTTTTTCTTGGTTAGCCTAGCTAAAGGTTTGTCAACTGTTTATTCTTCCAAAAACCCAACTGTTTGCTTTTGAGACAGGGTCTCACTTTGTAGTTCAGGCTGGTGAACTCACTATGTAGCCCAAGCTGGCCTCAGATTTGTGGCAATCCTCCTGTCTCAGTCTTTCTAGTGCTAGGATTATAGGTATGTGCCACCACACCAGGCCCTGTTGCATATTTTTTTCAGTTGTGATTTCAATCATTTCTGATCTTTATTATTTGTTTCCTTCTAATTTGGAATTTGGTTTGTTCTTGCCTTTCTAAGAACTTGAAGTGGAGTGTTAGGTTGTTTATTTGAGATCTTTCTATTTTTGTGGTGTATACATTTATTGCTATAAAATTTCCTCATAGCACTGCTTCTGTTGTATCTGATAGATTTTGTTAGGTTGTGTTGTGACCTTCATTTGTTTCCAGAAATTTTTTACTTCCCTTTTAGTTTCTTCAGTTACCCTTTGAAGACCTTGTTTTTAAAATTTTTTACCCTCAAGTAGGACAGAGGAAGAAACCTTGTGTGGTAGAGTCAATTGGCTGTCTGGCCCTGAGCCATTTCCTCTCCTCTGCAAGCAAAGCCTGGACCGTGTTCCAATGTCCACTTCTCCCCCATATAATTGTAGTACATTCTGCTGTAAGCCAAGCATGGTAATACCAAGCCCTTCTCCATGACGATAGAAGAGGCATCTGATACAGCTCTGTCTACTGATCCTTAAGTCCCATGGGATAGTTTCCTAAGTGACAGTAAAAAGCTGCATACACTTCTGCTGGTATTTTTTTTTTTTGGCCTAGTTCACAGGAAAACAAAACTGAAAACTACATATTCGTCTATTTCCTCATTGTCAGGTAGGCACTTCTATTATTCATAATACATCCTTCTGGTATTCTTTCCCTTGATCTGTCTCATATGTGAAATGTATACAGTAATAAAATAGAGCAATTAGCTAGTTTCCCCCCTTTTTTCTCGCTTCCATTAGCTATTTACAGGGTGATTTGAGTGGTCACCAGGCTTTTGGAGAGTTGCCTGTGGGTTTAGCAATATGCTGCCCTCCTATTGGAGTGTCTGGTGCTTTACCTGTCTTGTCTCTGGTTGCCAGTAATCTCAGTGGTGGGGCCTGATGCATATTGTGCTCATTGAAGTAGGGTCCTCTAGTCATCTGGAGAAGAATCACTGGGAGAGTATCTTAAATGCAGATTCCAGGGCCCATCACAGCCATTCTAAAGTAGATCCTACAGGTGAGGCTCAGAGCTATGCAACTCTAAGCAGCTGATGCACTCTGCAATTTGAGGCCCAGTGGTCTATCTCCTACCACTTTCTGCACAAAACCTTCCCACTCAAAGCTGGAGTGGGACCTCCTCTTTCCTGTCCATCTTGGCTGGGTTATGGTTTATGTCATTACCCCACCCCCACCCCCAGCTTGTGTTATTCTTGTCAACTTCTATCAGCTATGGCTCTACACCTCTGGGAAGCTTGAGCTGAGACACCATTCTATGAGCAGAATTCTAATTAATTTTTTTAAGGTTTTTAAAACAGGGTCTGGCTATGTAGTCCAGGTTGGCCTCAAACTCACTATGTAGCCCAGGCCTTGAACTTGGGGCAATCCTTGTGCTTCAGCCTCCCTGGGATTATAGGTGTGTGCCACCATGCCTGGCTGGATAATTCTTTCCTGCTCCCTCAGCAACCTCTTTATTACCTTGTTTCACTTTCCTTCTTCCTCTTGTTCTTCTTCTTCCTCTTCCTCTTCTTTCTCCTTCTTCTTCTTTTTTTTTTTTTTTTAGTACATGTTTGCAATTCATGCAGTTTACAATCATCATCTTGGGGAGTGGTTACATGTACATATACATATTACGACTTTTTAAAAAATCCCCTTCCCCTTCCCTCTCCTTCTCCCCCCACCCAGCCTTGGGTTCCCTTATCCCCTTTGGGGTACTTCCTGATATTATTTATCTTAACCCATGTTATGGCATATAGTGTTTACAGTAATTGGGATTATTAGGTTCCTGTACATGGCACATCTTTATAACTCTCAGTTCCACTTCCCCTCCTCCTCACCCCTCACCTTTGTTCCCTTGGGCTATTTCCCTTTTCCAAAAGATTGGTCCCTTTGTCCCTTTCTATGCATCCTTTATCATTTTCTTAGTTTGGACTTTTCAGCTTCATTTTGAAGGATATGTTTGCTTGATATAGAAACCAATTTTTCCTTTTAACACTTTAAAAATGTTGTTACATTATTTTCTGGCCTCTGTTCTTTCTGACAAGTCACTGATCATCTGAATCACCGTTTTCAATATCTTGTGACATTTTGTATAACAACTGGGGAATCTAGGTGAAAAGTATATATAAACTATATATAGGGTACACATGAGGTGCATATGTGTATGGTGGTTGCACCAGTCTACACTCTCACCAACAGTGGAGAAAGATTCCTTTTTCCCTACAGCCCTGCCAGCATTTGTTATTGATTGATTTCTTGATAATAACATTCTTTCTGGAGTAAGATGGAATCTTAGTGTTTTAATTTGCGTCTCTCAAATGATCAGTGATGTTGAACATTTTTTGATATATTTATTTGCCATTTCTACTTCTTTATCTGAGAAGTGTCTGTTCATTTCAGATGCCCATTTTGGGATTGGGTCTTTAAATTTGGGGGTCTCATTTTTTTAATTCTTTATATATTCTAGATATTAGTCCTTTGTCTGAGGAACAGCTGGAAAAATTTTTTCCCACACTGTGGGTTTTCTCTGCACTCTGTTGGAAGTTTCTTTTGCTGTGCAAAAGCTTTTTAAGAAGATGAGACCCCAGTTGTTGATTCTTTGTGGTATTTCCTCTGTGATCGGAGGTTGTGTTCATAAAGTCATCACCTACACAAATATATTTAAGAGTTCTACCTATTTTATCTTCTGGCAAATTTCGTGTTTCTGTTCAAATATTTAGATCTTTGATCCATTTTGATTTGAGTTTAGTGAATGGTGAAAGGTAGGGGTCTAGTTTTAATCTTCAACATGTGGAAAGCCAGTTTTTACAGATTTAGCTCTTACAAGATCATCAGTGAGGGCAGGATTGGAGTTAAAGACACACAGGGAATCACAAAGTCCTTCGCAGTAATCCCTCTCCAAGGGCCTCACATCTCAGAGTCTCCAGCAGCTCCTTCTCCTGTTTCCATCTGGATTTCAGCCCTTTCTTCCTGGCCACTCAGCCTCTCTGCCTCACTGGCCAGGCTGTCTGCACTCAAAGCTTTGGCCAATCTCTCCCTGTCTCTCTTCACTTTCTGAGCCTGTCTCTGGATGTTTGCAGAAATGACCTGCTGTCTGGAAGAGGGAGGAACAAGATGAAAAGCTTCTGGGATCAACTCTTTCCAGAACGGAGACAGGCCAGAGCTGGGCTGTGAGTTCTCAGCAGCAACCTGGTCCCGAGATCCACCTTGGCTTTCTTTTTTTTGTTGTTGTTGCTTAAATTCTTTTATCGGTACATTTTAGGTATACAATATGTTTACATTTATCATTGGGTGCTTGTACCTGTACATGATGTATCTTGGTTCTTATTTTTTCCCCATTATCTGTGCGCCCTTCACCTCTTCCACCCTTCCCTATTTACATAGACTTTGTTTCCATTTTTTTATTTTCTCATAATTTTTCCTTTCCCTTCTTTCCTTTCCCCTTCCCCTCCCACTTCCCCTACCCCTTTGGACCTTTTCTTCCTATTTCAAATTATCAGTTATTCATTTTAATCATTTTAATTCTTATTTACACTTTCAGTTTCTCACACTAGAGAAATATTTGGTATTTACACATGTGTGTCCTATTTATTTCACTTATGAGTATGGCCTCAATGTGCATCCATTTAGCTATGAATGTCTCCAGTTTCTTGTTCTTCATGGCCGAGTAGTACTCCATTTTATAAAAAAACCACATTTTCTTTATCTGGTTTCTAGCTTGCCTTGGCTTTCTGAAGTCATGATTTGAAAGTCGTGTGTGAAATCCAGTCGGCTTAAATGCTCTTCTTCGGTGCCTTGTTGCTTGACTTCTGGCAGCCTCCAGCTTGCACACAGCTGCTGGGGCTCCTCTAGCTTCTCCTCATGGGGCCCATACCTGACCTCATTGCCAGGGTGGGTGGTGATGAGTGTCACTGGCCTGAGGAAGACGCAGCTGGTCAGTCCCACGTGGAGGGCACAGCCCCCAGCAGCTCTGCGCTTGGCTTTGAGAACCTACATGTGTGGTTTCCTCCATAAATGTGGGGGTATTGTGCTTCTTTTGAGTTTCCCCACAGAAGGGTGGCTTGGAGCTGGGTTTATTTCTGGCTCCCCATGGTCACTGCTGCTGTCTTGCTTGCTCTGCCTCCAAGATGCAGACTGGCTGAGGCTTGTTCTAAAATGCCAGCTTCTGATTCTTTGGCATTGGTCTATAGTATTTTTTATGACCCTTAGGCAATCTCAGTCTTGATGTACCAGGAAGAACAAGCAATTAGAACAACTATGTCACCTTGGTTAAGTAGTACAATCAGCAACAACAATAGCATCAAATATAGTTTAGATAATGTCAGTGTAACAACTATTGATTTACCACCTTTAATTGTATGAACTAGATTTGTGGTTTTATCACAACTAAAACAAAACAGAAAATTGTGTACAGTAAATATGCCCTCAGTATGGTAATTTTACCCTCAAAGGAGAAAATTTAAAGGGGGTTATGGGAAAAAATAGAGAAATAGAAGAAGAGGAAGAGATTAGAAGCAAGATGAGAGAACAAAGGAAGATTATACTCAAACAACAGCATGTGAATTTAGGCCACCATTTCTAACTCTACTGCCATCCACACTGTTCAAATTTTTAGAATTTTTATTGTCGCAAGCCAGTCCCAACCCCACTGAAATATTTGTTCTATTATGGGACCCAGGGACTTTCCTAAGTTCTTTGGGAAAGCAGGTGCGCAACCACAGCTGAGAATTTGTGTTCCAGTTTCCTCTTGCTCTACAGCTGCCTACTTGCACAGTAATGTGTACATCCTCTCTGGTTGGCTTCTAACACTGTGGAGAGAAGAGAAATTGGTCCAGAGGATACTGCTCTGGTGTCCAGGGAAGTGAGAGGTCAAAGCCTCTCCCTCCATCTCACTGAACCACAAGACATCGTGCAGATATGCACATCTAAGAATCCTGCCAATCATTATGGTTTGCAAGGAAAGCCATCAAAGCTGCCCCTTTGGATCCCAGGGATAAGGAGATGGATTCAGGACTAGCTGAACACACTCATTTTAAAGGCTACCAGATGGCCCTGGCCCACTCCCTATCTCAGATGCCCCCCCCCCCATGCTATTCTGTCCCTCTGGAACCTTCCTCTCCATACCACCCTGTCTTAGTAACTTCCCTCCTCACTGGGACAAAATACTAACACCTGCCACTTAAAGGAGGAGAGGTTTATTTGGGCTTACATTTTAGAAATTTCAGTCCATGTTTGGCAGGGTTAAATACAGAAACAGCATGGTGAAAAGTCCTGGAAAGCTGCTCATGTCATGGTGACCAGGAAACAGAATGAAAAGAGAAACTGGGGAAGGAGATATGTTCTTCTAGATTACACTCCCAGTGACCTGGCTCTTCTGACCTAGCCCTGCCTCCAAACACAACATTAACTATAAAGACCCCATGATTCAATCATCTTCCAAAAGCCTTATCTATGAGCACATGAGGCTTTGGGGGCCATCCAAATATAAACCATAACATCCCAACTTCTGCCAGTGATTCCCCCAAGATCTTCACTCATGAAAGTCCTCCTTAATGCTCACATCTCCCCCAGGGTTGCCCTTTTATATGCTCTCATATCCTTTACTTCAGTCACAATTGTACAGGTCTCCCTTCCCCCCAATAATTCTTTCCCATCCCATGATTGGTCTTGAACCTTGAAAGATTTGGAAATGCTGGCTGGAGAAGCAGATGTAGAATGTTGTGAGTGAACTTGATGGGAGATTCTGGCATAGCTCAGAAGACCAGAATATTGACTGCCTTGCAGCTGGAAAAGACCAGGCTCAAGGTTTCATTTGGGAAGAAGAGTGCTCCATTGACAGTTGGACTCCAGATTATATGTTTTATCCTCTCGCTGAAAATTTGTCTGCATTTTGCTCTTGTCTGGAGATTATGCCTGAGATTTAGATTAAGGGAAGTGGACTGATTAATCTGGTGAAAAAATTTCAAGACAATATAATGTTGAGACCATAGCATGGCTACTGTTGAGGGCTTTTAGCCCTTTATCTTGTGCCATTGTATGTTAAACATGCTTAACTTTCTTTTCATTTGTACAGGGTCTTGCAACTAAGAGTTTGCCTTAAATGTCAGAGAAGACTTTGGACTTAGACTTTTCAGCAATGCTTAAACTGTTAGGACTTTAGCAACTTGTAGAGATGGATTAAATGCTTTTTGCATAAAAGGATGTGCACGAGTCTTTGAGGGGCCAGGGGTGGAATGTTATGGCTTATATCTAGATGTTTCCCCACAGCCTCATACATTCATAGATGGGGCTTTTCAGGGCTGGCTGGATCTAGGGCATGTGATACTGGAATTAATGTGTGGTACTAAATTAGTTCACTGATTGGAGCTAGCATAGTTCTGGATGACGCTACCCAAAAAGCTGGTAGCCTGGGAGGGATAAAAGGAAAGGCAGACTGGATGCTGCTGCTTGCTGCCTCCTGTCTGTGCTGCCATGGACTGTTTCTCCTTTGTGATGCCTCTCTACCTTGGAGCCAGCTGACTATGGACTGAAACCTCTACAAGCTGTGAGCTGAAATAAACCTTTCCTCCTTTAATTTGTGGGTGTCAGGTATTTTGTCTGAGCAATGAGAAAAGTAACTAAGACAAAGAGGCAGAATATTTTAGGCAGCAGTAACAGAAAATCCTATATGACATTCATTAAACAACGAAGGGTTTATTGTCCAAGATAACACGTGGAAAAAGAGTTTTTAAGGGTGGTTAATAAGGGCTGGAATGACATCAGCATATATCTACTCTCATAACATTCATCAGAATGTTAGTTTTTATCTTTGGGATTGGCTAGACAAGATGACAGGTGACCTAGCTTCATTCTAGAAATTCCCTTCTCCTCCAACCTTGTTCAAAGACAGGAAGAAGTTCTCTTCTCAAAAGGAACTCACCTTGCTGACATCTTGATTTAAGACTTCCAGCCTCCAAAACTCTGAGACAATATACTTCTGTTGTTGATGCCATCTAATTTGTGGCACTTTGTTATGGGAGCACCAGGAAACACATCAGTTTCTGATTATTGTTATCATTAATGGAAGTACCACAACTGGCTTAGCTAAATTAACATTCATGCTTAGGATGATCAGAGGCTGGGAGTGAACTGGCTCCCTATCTGTAAGGAGACATGAACAACTGGACAATATGGGGTACTTCAGTGAGATAAGAGGGCAATAGGTGGTAGTTGTGGAAAATGTCAATTAGCATTTTGTGCCACCGTCTTCCTCCAGCTGCAGCTCCCATGGCTGTATTTTCCCCCACAGTGCTTTGCTGCTTCATTCCTTACTGACCAAGTTAGCACCTTTGGAGAAATCTTTCTTGTTTTCCTTCCCTGCCAGAAGTCCTACTTTTCTCATTCCCTCTACTCTGTCATCCACATGTCCAGGAAAGAATCTGGCAGAGATAGGACTCTTCTTGGCAGAGAGAAGGGGGAAAGGCTGAGAACAAAGGCAGCATTCTGTCTGGTGGATGATGGGACATGAGTAGAAACCTGTGTGCACTCATACCTGGCTAAATTTTGCCCGAGTCACAAAACTATTCCCATCAATTGCAACAATGGGCTGAATTTAATTAGCTGAAACAGAGTCAGGGTATCTGTATGGTATCTGCATGGTTCCACATAGAAGCTGGGACAGTTTGCTTCACATGCTCAAGGCTGGAAGGTGTTATGGTTTAGGTCTAAAATGTCCCCCAAAGCCTCAAGCATGTGGAAGGTGATTGGATCATGGGGGTGCTATACTCATGGGTGGATTCATCCATTGATGAGTTCAGTAGCTAAATGTATTATTAGGAGGTTGAGTCCAGTCAGAAGAGGTGGGTCACTGGGGCTGTGATCTATAAGGATGTATTCTTGTCCTTGGCTCCTATCTCTCTCTGTTTCCTGGCTGCCATGGGTTGAACACCTTTTTCTCTTCCATGCTTCTCTGCCCTGCCATTTGTGCCTTGGAGCCAGCTGACCATAGACTGAAACAGTGACCCAAAATAAACCTCTTCTCCTTTAAGTTTCAGGTGTCCAGTATTGTGTCTCATTGGTGGGAAATTTACTAAGACTGGGGGAGCTCAACAGGAAGCAGTTTATATGCAAAGGACCAAGGAGGAGAGGCAGAGCCAAAAGCAGGGAGGCAGCACATGGCAGGAGCAGGATCAGGGTTCATTCCTGAAGTGTAGTGTCCAGGTTCAGCAGGATCACTTTCTCCCATCCCAGCACCGTTCAGCCCTCCTCTGGAGGAACGTGGGTGGCCCTGGGCAGTCATGGTGGAGTGTGGTACTAACTGGGTTTGTCCAGCAGTTAACAGCCAACCTTGGTGAGAGAGCTAGAGGAAAAGCTCATGACACCTGTGCCTATCTGCGAGTGAGCCCAGGGGTCATGGAGTCCACTCACAGCTGATTTAAATAAGCCAAGTAAGGTCCACATGGTGGCTATAGACATATACTTCTCAGCTGTCCTACCAGGGGAGAACCTAGCTAAGAGCAAAGTAAACTGAGAACCTTCAACTTTTCAAATTTTTGCCTTTTTGGCCATCTGCTCTATGGAACTTCAGAATCAGCAGATGTCTCTAGAGGGGAATCAGCATATGTTTGAAGCCCCTCAAGCCTAATTTTCTCACTCCAGACCCGTGTGACTGCTCATCTCTGCTGGCATCTTTATCCCCTGCCAGTGACCTTGTGCCAGGAGCCAAGCTCAGGTTCACAGCCTCTGGCCCACACTTGGAATTGGCAGTGGTTTCCAGGGAAGGGTGGGTTAAAGGTTGCAGGTGCTCAGCCTACCTCTTGAGAATGAGCTGAAGTTCTCCCCTCTCCAGAACTGTCATCCTTCTAGTGTTCTTTGCCTCCAGAGCTTTCTGATGCCTTTCAACATGTATTATATTTTACCTTCCCTTTCTAGTTGTTCTTCTTTTATTTTTATTTTTTTCTTAAATTCTTTTATTGGCACATTTTAGGTATACAATACATTTACATTTATGATGGGGTGCTTGTACCTGTACATGATGTATCTTGGTTCTTATTTTTTCCCCATTCCCTGCCCTACCTTCACCCCTTCTACCCCTCCCTATTTACAAAGACTGTTTCCATTTTTTCCTTTTCTCATAATTTTTCCTTTCCCCTACACCTCCCACTTCCCCTACCCCTTTGGACCTTTTCTTCCTATTTCATATTATCAATTATTCATTTTAATCATTTTAATCCTTATTTACACTTTCAGTTTCTCACACCAGAGAAACTATTCGGTATTTACACGTTTGTCCTATTAATTTCATTTAAGAGTATAGCCTCAATGTGCATCCATTTAGCTATAAATGTCTCCAGTTGTTGTTCTTTATGATTGAGTAGTACCATATTTTATATAAAAAAAACACATCTTCTTTATCCAGTTTCCAGTTGATGGGTTCTTGGGCTGCTTCCAACCTTCAGCTATTACAAACTGTTGCTATAAACATGGGTGCAGATATATTGCTGCGGTATGATTCTTTTAATTCTTTTGGGAAGATACCCAGCAGAGGAGTAGCTGGGTCAAATGGGACCTCTAATCCTAGTTCTTTGAGGTATCTCCATACTGATTTCCACAGTGGTTGCACCAGTCTGCACTCCCACCAGCAATGAAGAAGGGTTCCTTTCTCCCCGCAACCCTGCCAACATTTCTTATTGGTTGATTTCTTGATAGCAGCCACTCTTTCTGGGGTGACGTGGAATCTCAGTGTTGTTTTCATCTGCATCTCTTGAATGACCAGTGATGTTGAACATTTTTTCATGTTTATTTGCTGCTTTTACTTCTTTGTCTGAGAAATGTCTGTTCATTTCAGATGCCCATTTTTGGACTGGGTCTTTAG